GGACCTAACAATAAAATGCCCACTACAGGTATCCACAGCTACATGTTGTTCCTTACTGAGTTTTTTTAAACTGCCCTATTTGCCATATTTCTCCCCAGTTTTATAGAGTCGTAGTGACCAGCAGTATAGGGAGAACGCCAAATGCCACTGCTGACCCATGGAGTAACCAGTGCTGGTGTACCTTCTGTGGATGCACCTTGATTAGTTTCTTCCTTTTCAAGTTAAGTTTGTAGTTTAGAGATCAGTTTAAGTCCATCTGGTTTGAAATCAGGGTATAAAATCAGTAAAAATCATTTTAGAGTGTGACCTCTAGCCTTCAGCAAAGATTATTCCATTATTTCATATGGTCACTTAGCATACATTCTCTGGGGACCTGCTCTGCACCTGCTACAGTGTTCAGTCCCAAGCATACAAAGATGGATATACTCAAGGTCCCTGCCTCCCTGCAGGTGTATGGGGCAAATCATGGTCTGGAGTCCAGCTGCCCCAGATCCTATGGCTCCATCACTGACCACATGAGCAAGTTACTCCCCTAGCCCTGTTTCCTCATCTTGTAAATGAGACCATTTTCTTAGGTTCTTTTTTTTTTGCTCCTTTTAGCTGTAATATTGTCAGCCTCTGATGATGGCATATTTTTCTTGGAATTGCATTATTACTGTTTGGGCTCACCATCTACATGTTGTAGTTAAAAATAAACAGGGGGACTCCAGGGTTTCCAGTCCTGCATGTAAAAAGCTTGGGAGTCCCCACTTTATCCCAACAGTAAGAAAGAAGCTGCACAGACTGAAAAATCAACAACTCTTCTTGGATCCATAGGAGAGGGGAGGACCCAGGGCAAACCACTGCTCCTGAGATGAGAGACATAGACAGGCCAGTACAGGGAGTCAGGGATCCCGGGAGTAGAGACCCTCAGGCAATGCAAGGGAGCAAAGATAGTCTCTTCCGCAAGTGCTGCTGGAACAACTGGATGGCCACATGAAAAAAAATGAATCTAGACACAGATCTTACACCCTTCACAAAACTTAGTTCAAAATGGATTATAAACCTAAATGTAAAACACAAAACTATAAAACATCTAGATGAGAACATAGGAGAAAGCCCAGATGACCTTGGGAATGGCGATGCCTTTTTATTTTTATTTATTTATTTACTTTTGAGAGAGAATGTGAGCAGGGAGAGGGGGTGAAGGGGCAGAGGGAGAAGGAGAGAGAGAGAATCTCAAGCAGGCTCTATGCTCAGCGTGGAGCCTGATGTGGGGCTTGATCTCACCCTGAGATCATGACCTGAGCCAAAATCAAGAGCCAAGACTCTTAACAGACTGAGCCACCCAGACGCCCCTGGTGATGCCTTTTTAGATACAACACCAAAGGCACGATCCGTGAATGAAAGAATTGACAAGCTGGACCTTATTAAAATTATAAAACTCCTGCAAAAGACAATTTCAAGAGAATTAGAAAAGCCACAGGCTGGGGAACAAATATTTGCAAAAGACACATCTGAAAAGGGGCTATTATCCAAAATATACAAGGAATTCTTAAAACTCAACAATAAGAATACAAACAATGGCCTAAAAAATGGGCCAAAGCGTTTAGCAGACACCTCACCAAAGAAAATACACAGATGGCAAATCAGCATATGAAAAGATGTTCCACATCATACATCATCAGGGAAACTCAAAACAGTAAAATACCACTGTGCACCTATCAGAATGGCAAAATTCCCAAACACGGGCGCCACCAAATGCTGGCAAGGATGTGGAGAGACGACATAAACTTTTGTACACTGCTGGTGAGAATGCAAAATGGTACAGCCACTTTACAAGACAGATTGGCACTTCCTTACAAACCTAAACCTATTCCTACCGTACGATGCGGCAGTCGCGCTCCTTGGTCTTTACCCAAAGGAGCTAAGAACCTAGGTCCACCCAAAAACCTGCACATGGATGTTTGTAGCAGCTTTCTTCATCAGTGCCCAAACAGGGAAGCAAGCATTCAGTAGGTGAACAGATAAACAAACCGTGGTCCATCCAGACAGTGGAATAGTATTCAGCACGGAGAAGGTTTGAGCCGTCAAGCCAGGAAAAGACATGGAGGGTCCTTAAATGCATATTACCAAGTGAAAGAAGCCAGTCTGGAAAGGCCACACACTATGTGACTCCAGCTCTGTGACATTCTAGGAAAGACGAAACGAGGGAGATAGAAAAAGAACAGTAGTTGCTGGGGGAGGAGTGGGGAGGTGAACAGGCAGAGCACCAGGGATTTTTAGGGTGCCGAACATACTCTGTGTGATATTACAGTGAGAGATGTGTCCTTACACGTTCGTCCAAACCCATGGAATGCTGTGAATCCTCAGGTAAACCATGGACTCTGGGCGATTATGATGTGTCAAGGTAGGGTCATCCTTGGTAAAAATGTAGCACTCTGGTGAACGATGTGGCTCATGGCAGAGGCCGTGAATGTTGTAAGGGAGGGGGCACGTGGGAAATCTCTGGAGCCTTCCCCTCGATTCTGAAGTAAACCCGGACCTGCTTTATAAAAATTAAGTCCCTTTAAAAAATAACAACAAAATAAAAAGGGGGCAGCCCAAGAGGTAAGGCCTAACTTAAGAGCTTCTGTCTCAAATTAAAATTTTTGAACCTCCAGTAATATCTGCCTTTTCTTTTCCCCCAATTTTGCTCATATGTTGTTCATAAATCTTAACTCTTAACGATGGGGTTTTGGCTCCCTGTTAGGTGAAATAGTTCATTTAACTTAAGCCAAAGCCAGACTCAGAGCAGCCTGGGAATCGTTAGGCAGCTTCCCTTCTTCCCAATACATCAGGAGTCTCTGTATGGTTCCTTCTTGTTTATTTTTAGGGCGAGGAGGAGATGTTTTGGACTCCCCCGTGGTGGTGGTTAGGTTGCAGTATTGTCTATGTAGCTGGAACATAAACTGGGATTCGGCCCCTGCTTTGAAGTGGTAACATCATGAATGGCCCATCAGTGGAGTGCAGCCTGGTTCAGCATCCACAGGCCTGATTTCTGCTTGTAATCTGATTACGGGGTTTGAGCTGTTCCAGCCTGCAGCCTCCTGCTCTGCATTTACTATACTTTCAAGGACGAGTGCCTGATTGCTCTAGCCCTGGGCTGTGAAAAATCTCAACCCAGTTTTGCTTAGACGGGCTGAAGGCCACTGCCGGTTGAGAGCACCGAGCTCCAGAGCAGGCTGTGTGAATAAACTTTCTATGTGCAACCATGTTCAGAAGCCCAGAGATTGCTGGCTGTCTGGGAGCTTTCAAGTTCCCTGAGAAACAAGGTAAGGCAAGAGAAAGAGGACTTGCACTTGCGGGTTTATTTTATAACAGGAAGAATGCCTTGCATCCTCCATTCTACCTTGTGTTCTCCTGTGTCCCGTTAGTTACAGTTTCTTCAAAGGACACTTGAAAGATCCTACTGAGTTTATAAATTAACTTACTTTGTGGCTGAAAAATGTGAGGTTATTTTTTTGTTTTGTTTTTTCCTATAGTAGGTTAGAGATACTACTGAACCATGGAAGCCTTTATGCAGGAAAAATTGCACATTCAATCACAATGCCCAAACTTTGGGTCCAGTTCTGGATGTGCTGTGCTTTACCTAAAATAGTTTTCTAAACCGAATGCTATATATACTAAATTATTTCCAGTAGACAGTGGTGTTTGTCTTTTTATTAAATCTTCATGTGATACTCTTTGGAACAAAATGTTGTTTTTGTAGTGGCTTCCTTTTGAGTTCAGAGGAAAATGCATGCTTTCCATTTAACTACTGGAGTGGCACCGCGGATTCTGTTCACTGATTGAACAAAACTGAAATGCTGAAGTTATTTTGACCGTCACATGTGAAATTCAGGCAGTCTGTGTCCAAGTCTTTTACAGCACAAATGCACTTTTAGGAGGTGATTTGAACAGACCTCAGGTTCAGGAATTTTCTTCTACAACATTTGGTAGCTTTTTGAACTGAGTTCTCTCTTTTTTTAAAATACATAACAAGATATTTGTATAAGTAGGAAAAAAGCTTAGGTGTTTAGTTGGCATGATACCTTTCATTTTATTATATCTCTCTAGTTGGTAAGAATTGCCAAATCCCAGGATTCTGTATGTGTTTTGCTGGATAATGACATGTCAACATCTGGTCTATTTTGTACCTGCTTTTCCTCAGGCTTCTGCCCCCAAATATTAAACAGTAAAAGGCACTTGCTTAGAAGTCTGTGTAAGTGGAGTCTGCTTGTGGTTTTCTTGGTGGACAAATGGTTACTATACCAAAAGCTGTAAAACAGATTACTTGCCATTAGACTGGTATAAATTTGTCTCTGCCTGGTTTTGATTAACTGGTCCACCCGGATGTATGTTTTTGCTGCATGGGATTGTTACCACCTGTCTTTACATAATACATATCTTATCTTCAAAAATAAAGAAAGAAATTGTTAATTTGATGTGTTGTTATTGTTTAGATTTTAATGACGACAATAAAAACAGCGGACTTGTTCCCCTGCTCCTCATTAACCCCTCCACGTACATATTCTTTAAAGGCATCTCAAATATATCAGGCGGCGATGAGTTTCACTGTTTCTGTTTACCTGGACCGAAAACTGTTAAATGTTTTTTCTCCTTTTTTCCCTCTGAGTATGTAACTGTGCTATTCAGTATTTAATTGCTTTGAGTTATTCTTGTAGCTATAACAAATTTAAATGATAGTATTTTGAACTATGTCAGGTCCGCCCCCCCCCGACCACCTGCAGAGTTATGTTGGCTAAATTTCAGGAGAGGAAGAAACTTTGCCTATGTAAAAATGTATGTTGTGGAATTTGATATTTAAAAGGTATCATTTTTGTATTCATATTTCTTGTCTGGTTATTGGTTTCCTTTTTCTTAAGTTATATGTTCAAAGGGACTTTGAAGAATTTTTTTTTTCCATTTGGAGTTTTTTTTTTTTTTTAAACAAAACTTGTGTTATCTATTTCAATGTTACATTTTTTCTTTCCCCTTAGATTTCAACCAGAGAAACTTAAACTGCGTTGGATTACCAAGTCAAAGAAAAGTGTCAAGGTAAAGTGGTCTTTGCATAAGGAATCATAAGTTTGGAAGATTTGTGGTAGCTTTTAGAATTATTCTCCTAAATTCCTAATTCATGAGTTTGAATGTTTGGCAATATGTTTTCTCCCCAGAGTTTGATTTATTAAAATATATGAAGCAAGCTGACCTAATAGTACGTTCAGCCAAAAAAGATTCTTTTTGTATTCATTAATGCTTTTTATGGGAACTGTTTGCAGATCAGATATAATTTTGAACCTGTAAAGGGCTATTATCTTTTCTTTCTTGTACCTGCCTCCAAGTGTGGGATGTTCTTTTGCAGTCTGTCCATCAAGTAAGAGAGCTTTTGATTTTTTAAGAAAAACTTTAGCCTTGTTCTTCTGTCCTTCCACCTTTCCTTCTTCCCTCCTTCCCTCCCTGCCCCCATCCAGTCCATCTGTCCAGTGAGGTCTTTTTTTTTTTTTTTTTATTTTTTTTTTATTTTTTTTTTTTTTTTTTATTAGAGAGAGAGAGAGAGAGAGCACAAGCAGGGTGAGGGAGAGGGAGAACCGGGCTTCCCGCAGAGTAGGGAGCCCAACGCAGGACTTGATCCCAGGACACTGGGTTCATGACCCGAGCCACAGGCAGATGCTCAACTGACTGAGCCACCCAGGCATCCCCCAGTGAGGTCTTTTAACCATTCTGCACTTCATTTCCCTTGACTGCAAGATGTTATGGGTACAAATTTGATTTACCTAATGTGCTAAGACGCTGTGGTACATAATCATTAATATAAGCTCTTGTAAAAATTAAAGTTTGTGCCAAACAAGATAGCTGTATCTCAGAGGCTTCTTAGTAGATCACTGTCCCTAATAGATTTTGAGATTTTCACGTGAAGACACAAAGTTATTATCCGTAAGATATGCAGGCATCAATCCCAATCTACATTCATGACGGTAGAAGGACCCAACCCTGATGTAACCCTCATTCCACTCAGATGCTTTTGTTCCTAATGTATCATGTATGACATTGTTTCTTTACTATAAAGGGTTTGCATTTCAATGGCATTGAATAAATAGATGTCCTCATCAGACTGAGCCTGGTCCTGCATTGAAAATGACATAATTGATCTTGTGAGCACATTAGATGAGATAAAGCCTTGATGGATTTGATCCGTGTCTTAGTATGAGGCCAACTAGAGCAGTAATGAGCCAGGGTCATCAGTAAGGCTGTCTATCTTATTTAACTCAGGAAATCTTAACTTTTCTGGTGCTTGACACAGTCTCCCATATTTCTCATCTTTGCCATATTTTTGGTAGAATCTAATCTAAGGCTGTAAGCCTTAGATTAGTTAGTTCCAGCTACTATAACAAAATACTATAGACTGGATGGCTTATAAACAGCAGAAATTTATTTCTCACAATTCTGGAGGCTGGAAGTCTGAGATCAGGGTGCCAGCATATTAGGGTGAGGGCCCTCTCTCAGGTTGCAGACTGCCAACTTCTTGTACCCTCATTTGGTGGAATAAGCTGGAGAGATCACTGGGTCTCTCAGGGGGGTTGTTTTATTTTAATTGAAGTATAGTCAATCTCTGGGTCTCTTTTTCTAAGGACACTATTCTCGTTCATGAAGTCTTTACCCTGTGACCTCTCACCTTCCAAAGTCCCCACCTCCTAGTATCATCACATTTGGGGGTTAGGATGTCAACGTCTGAATCTGGGAATACAGATGTTCAGACCAGAGTAGCTTAGTTCCCAGTTCATCCCTAGCGGCCTGGTGTAGCTGTACTAGAGCTAGTAAGTGACTATGAAAAAGGAAGAAGAGGAAAGCATTGCTTATCTTACTTAAGGATAGCAGAAGTGTGAACTAGGTCAGGCGTTCCAGTAGAGACAGATTCAGAGGGACACCGCTGCTCTAAAATGGTGGACAGTATCTCCACTGGACCCATGCAAATTACAGCCTCCTTGCCACGAACTAGAGTAAAATAGGCTGGAGATGCAAGCACTTGCCTCCTTCAAAGCAGTCTGGTCGACCAGACGCCAGAGGTGCAAACAGGAGGTAGTGGACTTTGATCTCTCCTATCCTGTAATGTGAACTCCAGTAGAAGAGTGAACAGATTGGAGGGAGCCTTTCCCAGCGTGGGTGCTCACTAATCACCGTCATGGTGTAGCCCCATTTTGTCAAAGGTAGGCGCTAGTAACTGCGGAATATCCTGTCTTCACTTTCCTAAAATTTCGCCTTGTCTCTACAGCTGGTATTTAAGTAGGTTAATGGGACACATTAAAAAAAAAAATTATGGAGGCAGGGAGCAATCTCTTCTTAGATTATTGAAGCAGAGGGAAGGAGGTAGAGTATGAAAAGTTTAGTCCTGAAGAGAGCACTAGTTCAGAGGAGATGGAAAATACATAAAAAATACAAAAGGTGCTTCTTAATAGTAGAAACTTTTAAAATATAATTCAAAAATCAAGACTGTAGCGTTTAGTTATATATGGAGAGTTATATATTTCATATTGAATTACAGACTCATACTTTTAGTTTAGCTGTGGCAACCCATCCATGCCTATGGAGGTTGTCGGGCAGAGACTCCTTGTGCCAGGGGTGATGGTCCGTGAAGAGGAGAGTGCCATCCAGCATGTGGAGCTCAGTGCTTTGGAGTCATCTATTGTGTGAGTTAGGCTTAGGCTCCACCAGTCACACTGCTTGGTACCCCTGACTCAAAAAAGTGAGAGGAAGATGATGTTAGGGCTCTTTGGGGTATTTGTGTTTTACTAGCCGTTAGATGATCAGAAGGACATACTCTTCCACAAATGTTCCAGAATCCTTTTTTTTTTTTTTTTTTTTGAGAGAGAGTGTGTGCTAGCATATGGCAGGGAGGGGCAGAGGGAGAAGGAGAGAGAGAATCTTAAGCGGGCTCCACACTCAGCGCAGAGCCGGACAGGGAACTCAATCTCACGACCCTGAGATCGTGAGTCGCCTAACCGACTGAGCCACTCAGGAGCCACTATGAATCAATAATTTGAAATGAGACACTTGCAATATGTTCTACAAATAAGAAACCAGGATACCATGAGAGAAAACAACAGAGGTGCATGATATAGATTTGGTCTGCAGTGAGGCAGGCACTGGGTCAGGGGGTTTCTTCCTTGAGGAACTGACCTTAATCTGAGACCCAGAACAGGAGCCAGACTCAGTCAGGACGGGGAGGAGGGAACTCAGAGTAAACACCATTTACAGTAAACCATGCTAGGAGCCATGAGCGCGTTTCCTGACAGCGCTTGGGTTTTCCGTTGGTTCCTGACCAACTGTGAAAAGGCTGTCCTTTTTATTGGTCCTGACACTCTTGTAGCTTGTTTGAAGAACGTAAGTTTAGGGGGTGTCAGGGGATGACTCGGAAACCCCACTATAGAAGTTCAGAAAAATGTTTAGCTGGGGAGCAGTTTCTTAGTCTTCATTAGCAGCTTTTTGATAAGCACAAAAAAGGGGGAAAATAGAAGCATGCAGATATTTATGTTTGAAAATACAAGATAATATTTGTACCCCAAGGTCAATGGCCTGAGAAACTGAATATTTCAGGGATTGGACCATTTTGTTTTAATACAGAATTCTTTTCCTGAGACTTGAGTTGCCCAAAGAAAGGGCAGAACTTTATCAAGATGTTTACGCAAACAGCTAAATAACCAGTTACAATAGCATGCCATTCTTTAAGAAGGCTACATTTCTACAGTTATCTAATTCTGTAGGTTTATACTAAGTCATACATCTGAATAAAACACTGAAGAAGAATTGTCACTGCATCATGATTCACTGTTTAGAAGTCAGTGCTAATTCCACATTTCTGACCTAAGTAGGTGTCTTTAAGCCATCTGGAGTGTGGTTTAAAAAGACTACTTAATCTCAAGACTTTTTATTAAATAATATGAATACCTGGCAGTCATATTTATGGAATATAAACCCTACCACATTGATAAGCAACAAGTAAGATTTCAGATGAACTTGGTTCTAGAAGATGGATGCATCCCCCAGTTTGGAATGTGCGGCAGCTCCTTGAAATTGAATTTACGCATGGGGTATAGATGATTCGTGTGTCCCACTTACCTAGTATGCACAGCACCTTCCTCAGTCCAGTCCCCCCCTCACACCTCTATGGGCATGCACCCCTGCAGAGCGGAGATGCAAAGGGAGGACGAGCCCATGGTGAAGGTCAACTTTGCACTGATCTTCAGCCTTTGCAAGCCTGTCGTTCACCTCTCTGAAGGTGATCATATCACTGGGGAATATTAGTTTTTCTGTTTTCATGCTGGGTTTTCTTCCGGCGTTGCAGCAGCTCTGTCATCTTGCCCAACCCTGGGCATGCTCCCGCGGAGGCCCATGGGGTTGGTGCCCTGCAGCTCGGGGGCCCCTGCACACAGTGTGAGAGGAGCTAGATTTGTGTCTCATCCTTGGGCAAACCATGTAACAGCTTCCTAATCTGCAAACCAAGGATGATGATAGTGCCAGTGGGGTGCTGGGGCTCTCTCGCACCTCCTCGCAAGAGTGAGTATGTGCCTCTCTTTCAGCTTGGAGTCCAGAGAGCCCTGTGGGAAGCTTGAAAATTGGCCACAGTGGGAGTATTGACCCCATCAGCAAAGACTGCAAAGCATGTGCTAAGCGGAAGGGGGCAGGAGAGCAAGAGGAAGGAGCCTGTTATTAAACGTTTCTCAGCACAGCACTGAGTAGTTCAGGCCTCACGGGGTCTTACGAAGATAATTAAGATTGATTATACCTGGAATATGCCTAGTTAGAGAAGAAAAGTACACAGTGCCTAGTCCCTTATTCTTCCCCCCTTCATTTCCTCCTCCATTCCAAGCCAAGTTTTCATGAGCCTTTCAGGCCTGTTCACCATGCTTTGATTTCTTGGTTGTTTGAAGGCATGTGTCACTTTACCATAAATTCAACCCTGAAGGAAAGCATGTACATAACCTAGACAAGCTGCTGATTTTCTGAGGAAGAGAAGAACACAGAAAGGTTGAGTGATTAATCCAAGCTTCCACAGCTGTGGGGCGAGTGGCTCCAGAAGAGGGTGTCCATCCCAACCGAGGCGTCCAACTCTCAGCTCAGCCATGTTGTTACCCCCTGACGCCATGCCACCTGCCTGTGCTGACAAAAAAGTCATAGTAATACAACTATAAATAAATGAAAAAAGCTACCATTTAACTCCCTGAAATAAAATTTTTACTTGTAATCCACACGCACGTATTTCACTACGTATAACAGTCACGTAACTTTTGTTTTGCAATTTTTACACTTAACATCATACATCTTGATTCACATTGACTTTAAACATTATTAATGGAATAATTTAATTTTTAGCTTTCAGAAAGAGTTCTGGCTTGAAGATAAAGAACAGCTTGCTAACCACAAAAGAAGAGTCGATGCTAAGATTTTAACTGCACTTCCGAAAGGTGAGATTTCTCTAAATGGTTAACCAGTGTCCTGGGCACCTAAGTATTGTGTCACCTGATTTTCTTTGAGGGAAAATCATTCCCTAATCTCCAGTGTATACCCTCCATTGTGTTCTGTTGTGCCTATTCCAAGAGTTAACCTCAATGAAGGTACCTCCCTTCTTGCGTGTTTCATCTATACCTTTCTCCGTGTCCTTTCTTGTTCATTTTAGGCGTCCTTGGGTATTCCCTGGGCGCCGGGTGGGGAGGGTGGCAGAGGGAGCCAGCATAGAATCAACCTTCATTATCTCTCCTACCTTTCACTTTCTCCAGGGGCAGTGAGTTTTGCTCATAAGCCCATATCTGCTCTGTCCACTCTGCCCACTCCCTCCGCCTCTTGGTGCCTGCCAGGGTTGTTGCATTTACACTGAGTATCTTAGAGCTCCCTGCCAAGCAGCACGCTGGGCTTCCAGTGCACACTGGAAGGTAGGCACTCAGATGTTCGGTGAATTAGTATTTTCATTGGTAAAGATGGAAGTGCAATAAAACATTTGCACCTGCCATCAGCAAACTACCCCTGTGTTTTGCCTGAGAAATGATGTAAATGTTAACCAGATCTTTGTGTCCCCCAACTCTAACACTGGCAGAGGGGAGTACCAGCTCACAAACTGCCTTCATCCCAGATCAGCTGTGTAAGAAGAAACAGGTTTGATGAGAGGTCAGATTTTTTTTCTTTTTTGTCCTCTGAAAGAAAAAAACAAACATGAGATCAAACCCAAAAGAAATTAGACCAGAAAAAAATATTCTTTTAATAGAAACTAAATCTAGTTTAAAAGGCCCACTGATAAATGGGCGTACATCCTGAGGAACTGAATAGGTGATATGCTTAGACATAGTCTAATGAGGATGGATATTTGAAGGACCCCAGGGATTTGGCCTTGTGAAAAAATTTAAACAGGGACATTTTGCAATTTTCAAGTATTTAGAAAACTGTCAACTGAAATACAGACTTATTCCATGTTGCCCCAGAGGCCCTAGAACAAGAATACTGTGTTGAATTACAGGGAAGTAGGTGAGATCAAAGGAGAGAGACAATTCTGATAGTTCGTGGGACCTGCGAATGAAATGGGCTGCATTACGATCTCATCTCCTCCTGTTGGCTCTTCAAGGAAGGTCATGGGCTTCCATGGGAAGGGCACCTGCTGTGGGTTCCCGCCTGGATGGCGGGACATGGAAGGGCCCTTCTGATTTTTTAGACTCTTCGTGAAAGGCAAAGAAACTCTGGTTAATCTGGGTCAAACTTAACAATCGATGAAGATGATTCAAACAAAATACAAGAGTGAACAAACTGACTTTAGCAGGATCTTGGAAGATGGGAACGATAGGCAAAGTTCTGTAGCAAAAGCTGCTTCACCATCCTCTCCGTCTACCCTGGTCCTTTTCTTGGAGAGCAACAGTACACGCAATATTAGAGTCGGAGAAATTAGAAGCGATCTATGAGATGCAAGGTTCTTTTCAGGTTCAACAGCTTGTAACTCCATGTATGCCAACATTTAAGAACACGTAAGTTGATTAACCAGTTTCATTAGAAAATGTATCATAATTGGTTATAAAAATGTACTTTTTCACAAATCAAAGATAACACCATGTATTTATCAGATTTATGTTTCCAAGTTCCCAAGATCTTCACAACATGCTTAAAAAGTATCAGAGCCTCTCCTCCCCTGAATTTCACGTAAATTCCCCAGAGTCTTATTTTACACTCCGCACTTCACGAATTTGGGCAGGCATGTTTGGAAAGACCCAAGTATTACCGATAATCTCACTTCTCCATCTTAACAAATATTTTAATGAATCTGTCAGCTCTTGGCAATATAATGGTGAAAGTAGGAATTGATTACAACTTTTCACGGCATAGAGTTTTATGTCTGTTTATATGTTTACAGAAGTTTCTGTTCATTTAGTGAGGAATTCTTGCTTTTGTGAAATTGAGCATTGAAGTGATCATTGGCTTTTTCTGTAGGGGGGCTTCCTTTAACTGTGTATCACCAACAAGTTATCCAAGTGTTAAAAACCTTTACTTATGTAAAGGTGATGCTATTAAAATATATTTTCCACTTAAGAATTATGAAATGAACCAAATATATTACTCTACTTTCTTGATAGCTTTCTTGAGATATAATTCAAACAATATACAATTCATCCATCTAAAGTATACAGGTCAGTGGCTTTTAGCATATCCACAGAGCTGTGCATCCATCCCCACAGTCAGTTTTGGAACACTGTCATTATCCCAAAAAGAAATCCCACACTTCTCAGCTGTCACCTCCCCCCTGCCCTTATTCCTCTAGTTTTGTAATCATTGATTTTATAAGCTGCTTGTCTTTGTATTAGTGGCTGCCATCCAAGTGTAAAAGTTAAAGTGTGTTACTCCTCTGGGAAGTCAGATCTGTTTTCAGGACATGCTGGGTCTGGCCTGTGCTCTTAGCCTGTCAAATGCAGGGTGGGAGAGAGGTGTTCTTGGCAGTCCCCTGCCACTTCTATTTCTTTGGAAGATTCTACTGTACTCGGGTTTGGATGCCTGAACTCAACAATAACTTTACCAGGAAGCCTGTTTCTCTGGGCTAATTAAAGAAGCAGTGTTCCCCAAGAAAACTGCCCAGCAGACCGCATTATGCTGGGTATGGGCATTATATGTTATGAGAAAGCATGTTAGGCAGTGAAATAACTTTATAAAGTGTGATAGCCCTGATGTCAGTTACCCTTAAATTACTGACTCGGAAAATGACCATCCAATTCCCATCAAAACTGACTAAAGAAATAGACTCATAGAATCTGTATTGCCACAGAAACACCATTCGGAATTACTCAGACAAGGGCAGCAGGCTAAGATAGCAAGTGCAATGAGGAATAATTTAGTATATGTCACAGTTTTAATGTACTTGAAGGCAAAGTAGAAAATTCATTACAACAGAGGTTAGATCAGCAGTGCCTGTTTAGATCTGTATTATATGATGACTAGTATTACTAATACCGGAACCATTTATGAATTGTACACATTATGCCACAGCATACAATCAATTGGATTATAACTGTTAATCCAATTTTATTTTTTTAAAGATTTTGTTTATTTGAGAGAGAGTGTACAAGCAGGGGGAGTGGCACAGGGAGAGGGAGAAGCAGACTCGCCGCAGAGCAGGGAGCCCAATGTGAGGTTCGATCCCAGGACCCTGAGATCGTGACCTGAGTTAAAGGCAGACGTTTAACCGACTGAGTCACCCAGGCGCCCCAGCTTAATCCAATTAAAAAAAATATTCTTACTTCCTGTTTTAAGGAAATATACACTGATGAATTTAGAGATAAAGGGATATCATGCTGCAACTTACTCTTGGATGGTTCAGAAAAATTAATACGTAGGGGTGCCTGGGTGGCTCAGTCGGTTGAGCGTCTGACTCTTGGTTTTGGCTCGGGTCATGATCTCAGGGTCAAGGGATGGAGCCCCATGGTCAGCTCCTTACAGGGTGTGGAGCCTGCTTGGGATTCTCTCTCTCCCTCTCCCTCTGCCCAGTCCCATACTCATGCTTTTGCTCTCTGTTTCTCTCTCTCTCTCTCTCTCTCTAAAATAAATAAGTCTTTAAAAAAATAATATGTAAATATGTGTACATGCATGCATGTGTATACATATATAACACATGTAAATACGCATATGGAAAAGGATAAAAATAAACCAAATGTAGTAAGTAAAGTGTAAACATGTTATGAAGCATGTCTTGATTTTTCTGTAAGTCTGAAATTATATAACTGTTGTAAAGAAAAGACAGCTTTTGGTAGATCCTAAACAGTAATCAACTGTATTCAAGACTATCATCCAGATGATACCTGTGGTAGTGCTTTATGAATGAAACAATGGAGGGCAACATAGATTTCCACAGCTGGGGTGACTTCTGTGATTTCTTAGTATTAGCTCTTTTTTAATGCTTTATAATAAACCTGACCAAAAATTCCAACCAGAGGGCCTAATGAGGACTGCAAGAGCCCAAAAGAGGTTGTTTTTTGTTTTTTTGTTTTTTGTTTTTTTCCTGGAGAGGGTCAGAAAAAGTATGCACAACACATCAGCAATTCGAATAAAACCTTTTCTCTTTCCTGCAACTGAAGTATTTTCCCATGGAATAGATATACTAGAGTAATTCTATTGCATGTTTGCTTTACTAATTTTACTTTTAAATTATAGTCTTGGGAAAGGAAGCTTCTCTATTACTTCTTTTGTCTTCTACATCATTTCTTTCCCCTGTAATCTCATGTCCATAGGACTGAAGCAAATCTTGGTAACTGAAAAATAGATTTGTTACAAAGAATAGACTGAGAGGTAATTTGTTTGCTTAAGGGATTTTTTTTTCTAAAAGATTCACTATGGATTTCCACTAAGAATCAATAAGATTGCTGATACATTTATTTATTTAATTTTAAAGTAATCTCTACACCCAGCGTGGGGCTCGAACTCACCAGCCCAAGATCAAGAGTCGGGTGCTTGACCAACTGAGCCAAAGTGCCCCTAGCTTGCTGATACGTTTAAAGTCTGGTTTGATTTATGACTTCATTTCACTCCTCAGTAAATAATTGGAGAGGACTATAGCTTATAGGCTTGAAATGGTTTTGAGTTTGAATCTAGGTGTGGTTGAAAAGAATGCAGTCCTGGCTAGTGGTGTCTGTCATTGGGATAACCTAGAGCACAGGCATCCAGGGGCCTGGCTGCTTATTTGAATCTTTGTCCTGGGATCGGTGCTTCTCAATCCCGGACAGTAACATCCGCAGGGGGCTTTGGAAACAAGTGGGAGCATTTTTGCGTCATGGCAACTGGTGATGTTTAGGCATTTGGTAGGGGAGCGAAGGATACTTAACATCCTGAGGTGCAGGACTCAAAGAAATTTTTCACTCAAAAGGCCATTAGCACCCCATGGTGATCTGTGATCTGTTCCAGAGCCAGCTGATGAGTGTGTGACCCTGAGGAGGTGTACCTGAACATCTGCTAAATGCTATCCTCAGACTGACAGCAGTGAGACTTACAGCATTCACTAGTGGGCTGCCCACCCTGTTCTGTCCAGAAAAGGACGGAGATCACCATGGACAGTAGGATAACTTGGCTAAACCCCCTGCCCACCTTTTTCCCATTGCCCCAGGCTTCTTGGGGTTCAGTTCCTGGGATGAATGACTGTTCTGACCATTAGCCTGTTCCCTTCTTATATTATCTTAGTATTTACAGAATATTGAAACAAGTAGGTAATGGCAGAAGGAGAAGTATAGTTTTGTTATGGGCATTTGCATAGCCTACCAGCTAGTTGATCATTGCTTCTAGAATATGGGAAATAAAGAATGCCAGGAAAATTTGTTACTTAGCTTTTTCACTGTACTGCTGGAATCTTTTTTTGTTGATGTCTTTAGTTACATAATTTCTATAGAAAAATTTAAAAATTAAAAATTTAACAAAATAGAAGTGATTTTCATTTTTTTAAAAGATTATTTATTTATTCATGAGAGACAGAGAGAGAGAGAGAGAGAGAGAGAGAGGCAGAGGGAGAAGCAGGCTCCCAAGAGCAGGGAGCCCAATGCGGGACTCGATCCCAGGACCCTGGGATCATGACCTGAGCCGAAGGCAGACGCTTAACCATCTGAGCCACCCAGGCGCCCTAGAAGTGATTTTCAGTCTCAAATTAGGATGAAAAAGTGTATCTTAACTTTGTCCAATAGAAGTTATAGGACACTCTGTGCATAAAATTACTATTTTTATCCTTGTCTTAGTCCATTTAGGCTGCTATACGAAAATACTATAGACTGGGTGGCTTTTAAAGAGCAAAAATGTATTGCTCCTAGTTCTGGAGGCTAGATCAGGGATCCAGCATGGTTGGGTTCTGGTGAGAACCCTGTTATGGCTTGCAGACTGCCAGGTTCTCACTGTGCCTCACGTAGGAGGGGGGAGGGAGCACCCTGTGGGGCCTCTTCTATAAGGACACTAATCCTACTCCTGAGGGAAGAGCCAATCATCACCCAAAGGTCCCACCTCCTAATATCATCACTTTGGGGATTAAGACTTCAACATATGAATTTGGGTGGGACATGAACATTTAGACCATAGCATACCTAGTTGAAATAATTTGGGTGGAGGAAAGGTCTGTGGTGTTACGCTCCGTAAGACCCTAGTAATATAGTGTTTCTCAGTTACGAGTTTGACACATTGAGTCTGAAACCTACCTTTCAGAGCACTTGGAATTAATTTGGTTTCAGTAGCTTCTGGAGCAATCTTATGAAAAATATGGCCCCTTGCTCTTTTGGGGGGTTAAATAATTAACTGATACTCCTTGGTTTATATCATCCTTGAAAATATTTTCAAAATACGCACTACCAGTCATTGAAGTTTTATCACCATAATCTTGCTGGAGCTAACTGGTTAACTGGGAAGCTATTATTAGTTAAGCTTCCTCAAAAGGCATCATGGCAGGATGCACCATTACCATTATACCCTTGTCTTCCAAATAGGAACATAATTGACAGTGCAGAGCAAGCACACCTCTGCTTCCAGCTACTCTGGTTCCTGGGAAAGCCAACTGAGGGAGAGACTTTTTTGAAGCCAACTTTTTTTTTTTTTTAATTCAATTAGCCAACCTATAGTACATCATTAGTTTTTGGTGTAGTGTTCAATGATTCATTAGTTGTGTATAACCATCTTAACAGAAGTCAATCTAACTAAAATTGTAAGGCAGCTATCATTTAAAAATAAATAAAAACAAGGCTTGTATCTCCGAAGACAAAGGGCAGTGTGAAAGAGGTGTGTGTGTGTGTGTGTGTGTGTGTGTGTGTGTGTGTAGCTCTGAATCATTACAAAAATGACAACTTTAAAAAAATAAAAAATAGGGCACCTGGGTGGCTCAGTTGGTTAAGCGACTGCCTTTGGCTTGGGTCATGATCCTGGAATCCAGGGATCGAGTCCCGCATCGGGCTCCCCACTCGGTGGGGAGTCTGCTTCTCCCTCTGACCCTCCCCCCTCTCATGTGCTCTCTCTCTCTCTCTCAGATAAATAAATAAAATCTTTTTTAAAAAAAAAAGAAATGAAAGCAATTGAAAGTTAAATTCCAGAATTCAGGGGCGCCTGGCTGGCTCAGTCAGTAGAGCATGTGACTCTCATTCTCAAGCTCATGAGTTTGAGCCCCACGTTGGACATAGAGTTTATTTGTTTTATTGTTATTATTATTTTAGAGAGTGGGGAAAAGAAGGGGCAGAGGCAGAGGGAGAAGGAGAGAGAGAATTTTAAGCAGGCTCCATGCTCAGTTGGAGCCCAATGTAGAGCCGGATCTTACAACCCTGAGATCATGACCTAAGCCAAAATCAAGAGCTGGACCCTTAACCAAATGAGCCATCCAGGCGCCCCAAGATGTAGAGTTTACTTTAAAACAAAAAAGAAAATTAAAAGAGGGGCACCTGGGTGGTTCAGTTGTTAAGCGTCTACCTTCAGCTCACGTCATGTTCCCAGGGTCCTGGGATCGAGTTCTGCATCGGGCTCCCTGCTCAGTGGGGGTGTGCTTCTCCCTCACCCTCTGCTGTCTCTCTCTCAAGTAAATAAATAAAATCTTAAAAAAACAAATACTTACAAAAAAGAAATCTGAGCTTCTCCCTCTCCCTCTGCCTGCTGCTCCCCCTGCTTGGGTCCTCTTTCTCTCTCTCTCTCTCTCTCTCTCTCTCTCTGTCAAATAAATAAATGAATGAATCTTAAGGGGAACAAAAAAGAAAATTAAAAATATTCCGGCATTCTAGTATGCCTCCGTTGAGTTTCTTCTTTGACTCAGCCTTTCAAAGTTCCATGGGCCCCCAGGGCTGTCAGCGACACCTCTCCCTGGTATTCCCAGGTCCTCAACAGGAGCCACTCAGATGAGCCTTTATAAATTCATGTGACTGAGCAAGAGGTGAGAAGAGAGACCTTTATTTTCCGCCAAATTGGGCCATTTCTCCAAAGACACAATTATTTGGCCCCTCAGTGATATCCTTATAGTCTGTATCACATGAGACCCTCCCAACCTCAGCAGAACATTTGTCTGCTCATCCAGTGTTGCCAGGAGAATTAGGGTTGTTACTTTATCCATCATCCACCCAAATTATAGCAAGGAAACAAATGTTAACGTTTCCTTCCAGCAAAAGCCAGTAAAGGGAGGCTTAGGAACTGTGTTAACCTAAACTGCAGTAAATGGCTGTATGCTCCATTAGGGATGGCTGGAAACACAATCAGCTGGTTACAGATTTTTACAGGCTCAAATGATAGTGTGAAATAGGAGTGTGGGGAGACACGGTGGTTGTAGCTTGCTGATGAGTGTGTGGAGGTTCTAGTGCTTGTCTCTACTTTTGCAGACGTTAGAAGTTTTTCATGATGAAAAGCTTGGAATACTTTATTGAACCCAGTAACAATCAAAACATCTAGTGAGATATCTGCTGGCTGGAGAGATCTTAATGTTCAGGCCTCCTCTGACTCCCCTGGATGAAACAGAACTCATTCCTGTTAATCCATCCCTTACTTCTTAGTGCAGCCTGTGATGTGTGCATGCGTGTGTGTGTGTGTGTGTGTGTGTGTGTGTGTGTGTGTGTGTGTATACATGCTTCCCATGTGGCATCTGCCCTCTCATACTAGAAGACAGTCTCCAGGAAAACAGGAACTGCACCAGTTTTGTGTATCTCTGCTGCACGGGAGCCAAGAACAGAAACATAAGTTCAGTAAATATACGTGTCATGAATGAGTAGAATGAATGCATGACTACTGAAATCTGGAGTATCTTTTTATTCTTCTCTGTTTTATTTTAGTTGCAGAATTAAGAAAAATCTTTGAACCAAAGAAGAAAGAATTTTTAGAAATGAAAAGGTAAGAAATGGATTGTACCTAGTTAGAAAGTAGAAGCGCTTGGTGAAGCAGTATTCACTTTTTCCTGAGAATTGATTGTTTTTGGTGTCCTGCACAGAAAAGAAAGAATTGCCAGGCGCCTTGAAGGAATCGAAACAGACTCGCAGCCCATCCTCTTGCCGAGCTGCACGGGGTTAGTGACTCATCGCCTGCTGGAGGAAGACACGCCCAGATACATGCGAGCCACAGACCCGGCCAGCCCCCACACCGGTGAGCATGCTTGCCTGGTCGCCTACCATCACACAGTCTGCCCAACAGGGTCCACGCAGCCTTTTTTATCCAGTGGCATTGGGAAATGAGATATTCCACAAACGGGAATTGTGTAGATGTACTTATTGAATACATGTTATTTGTGAAAAGCTGCAATGATGCAGATGCCCCGCCTCCTAGGCGTGGTCCTCTGGTATCAGAGCAGTAAGAAATTATTCCTCTTGGCACACTGATGGGAAACTGATGACGTCATTTCATTCCCCCACTCCCCAGCCTGGGACCCCTAAAGGGCAGGAACTGTGTCTCCCTCTTGGCACCTTCTGGGCACTGGCACAGGACCTGCTGTCTGAGATCCTCAGTAAGAGTTCACTAGAGGACTGAATGAGACTCCTTTAAACAGAATACCCAGGTGCCCAGCACAGGGCCCGGCTGCTCGCAGCAGGGAGCATTAAAAGTAAATCTGGACCTTGAGTGGTTAGGGCTCTTAGTCTATGTGTTAATGCAACAAACATTCTATTTAAGTTATTTGAATGTAAATTATTTACATGTCACTTAAAATATTGCATATTTATTTCATATTAAACCATATTTCAAACATAACTTTTTTTGTTTTTGATAACTGTCAACATTAGGAATATCAAATATTCAACTTGACCTTGGAAGAGGATGACCCATACGGGGCTGCTCTCCCAACCCCGTCCCTGGCTCTGCAGCTCCGTGCTGCTACTTTTTATGGCCAGTGTTTTCTAGTTTCTTCCTCAGAGATTGGCTGTCGATCTCACTTTGTGATGTGATCATGTCACTTATCTAGAGTTCCTGATCTTCTGTGGCCAGAAAACTAGAGAATTAAGAGTTTTTAAAATTACATGAAGAATCAAGAACAGACAGAGTACCAAAATTTATAGCCAGAAATAAACCCTCATGTATGTAAAATGTGTATCTATATATTATATGATAATTTAAGCATCACATATTCATGAGAAAGGGAAGACTTACTTAATAAAATGGTTATTGTGCAGTGGGAGAGGGGACATATACGAAACACAAAAATAAGTCCCAATTAATCACATGATTAATTTTAAGAAAATAATTAAAAACATGAAAACATAGGTGAATATTTCATTCAAATTGAATAGAAAAGGACTTTCAAGATGCAGAAACAGCTGGAGAAATCACAAATGCCTAGGTCAATTGACTTGACTACATAACAATTCACATCTATACTCCGAAGAAAATCTTACACATGTACGTCACAGAATATTAAACAAATTTGAAATATTCATGAATAAGATTAAGGTTCATGGTCTTATAAAAATGCATGCAAACCAGTAAAAATGACACTATGAATCAATAGGATATAGAGCTTAAATAAGCTTGATCAGATATTCCAGAGAAGAAAAAAGTAATACAAATGGCTAATATATAAGTGAAAAATGCACATATTCTCTTTTTCTAGTAATCAAAGGAAATTTTTAAAATGAACACTTACTGTTTGCAAGTGAACATATATTGCAGATTCAAGTGTAAATTGATGCAAACTTTATAGAAATCAACTTGACAATCTAGCAAGTCTTTTTGTTGCTTTTTGTTAAAGCAATTATACCTTTATCTGTTGTGATAATAGTCAGAAAATCAGACTGATTAAAAGTTAGAAACAATGAAAAATAGTGTTAGAAACAATATAAATGCTCAGGAATATGAGAATGGTTAAATTAGTTATGGAATACCTATTACGTTTGACCAATTATCAATTTATTATTGATTATTATATATTAGTGATTACTGGTGGAGTTTTACCTTCCTATGTTTTCATGTTAGACATTTTCTGTATCAAGCATGTGTGCTACAATTGGAAAAATCCACTTCTGTTAAAAAAAAAAAAAAAAGCAACACACATAAAGAACCTGATACTTGCTGATACGGCCCATTGCCGTTCTGGTTATTATCAGATCCTGTGAAACCACAGTCTGTCACTTGTCAAGTTACAGTGGCTTAGATATCTGTTATCTTTTCTAGAGGACTCTGAACTCATTCTCTGGCCTCGCACATGAAATATTAAGCTCAAAAACAGAAAGGTAAATAAATAAGAGGCGGCCAGCTGGGAGTGAGGAGCTGAGCTTCCGTGGGGGCGGTGCGGTAGGTGGCTTGCGGAGCCTGGAGGGCTAGCAGATTTCACGGTGGGTCTCGCGCTTCTTGCGGCCTGGGTGGTCGCTGTGGCTAGGTACACCTGTGTGAGAAGTGGGTCCTCCGCAGCCCGGGCGTGCAGGTGCGCGCTGTGCACAGAACAGAGCGCGGTAAATGTGCGTCTGCCCTTGAACTCTGTTGTGTGGTCCCCTTGCAGGCCGGTCCAATGAAGAGGAAGACACTTCGGATTCCTCGGTGGAAAAGCAGACCCGCTCCAAACTCTGCACCGAAACCTCAGGCGTCCATGCTGACTCCTCCTGCAGCTCAGGCCTCATGGACACCCAGGCTCTGGAGTCCAAAGCTGAGAGAATCGCACGGTACAAAGCGGAAAGGAGACGGCAGCTGGCCGAGAAATACGGGATAGCACTGGATTCCGAAGCGGACTCGGAATCGCCCTCCCGATACGCCAAGTCCAGGAAGGATGCTGATGCTGTTGACAAGAGGGGAGGGAAAGGTGACCGACAGCCCGAGCCAGGCAAAGATTCGAGCTCTCTGTACTCCAGGCCCTGCGTGGTCGAAGCCAAAGACTATGCCCTCCCTGGGGGCCACGGTCTTTCCGACACCGAGGTGCTGCTCAACGTGGAAAACCAAAGACGGGGTCAGGAGCCCAGCGCCACCGGGCCGGCCCGTGACCTGGCCCCCACGGTGGAGAGTTCCTCATCCTTCCCGTTCCCCGGGCGAGACTGCACCTTCAGTGAAGTGCCAAGATCCCCAAAGCAAATGCACAGCGTGTCCCTCTCCTCGCCTCGGCCACCCGCCTCCCCGAGCCACTCGGCTGGCGACCTGCCACTTCCTTCTGAGGCCCGAGCCAGGTAAGCGTTCAGCCCACGCAGGGCCGCGTCACCATCTCTGCTTTGCCTCCCCTGGTCAGGGTCTGGGTATCCTTGGCATTTTGTGGAGGGTTCCACAGGTGGCAGAAAGAGGTGAGATAGGGTTTGTAAAATTTCTACAATATCAAAACAGGTTCTGCCTAAGCAGGAAGCTTCAGCCTCTTCTTTTTAAAAAATGATAAGCTGAACAGGTGTCATGGGGACACTTTCATGGGAGCCTCACTTCAGGACCCTTCTTTTTATGTGTTTCTTATATGCCTTTAATAATTGTCTCTTTCTTTATGTGTTTCTCTCTAATTATACCCGACTTCTTAGTGATTGGTTTTGTTGCTGTCATTTAAAATCACAAAGCAGGACCACCACTAACACAGTGGAAGGGTCTCAGTTTAGGATATGAAATATGACTGTAATATACCCTGAATATAACCTTAACGTATAGCTATGCAACTATATCAACATGCTGAGAAAACAGCTGTATAGAAGAGCACCTCATTAAAAAGATCAGTCATTAAAAGGAATTGTCATACACAAAGACAATAGCTCTCATTTGGGAAAATCAGAAAAGGTATAAAATCAGAAACTCAAGTGCCAGAAGAGAATATTTGTTCCTAAACTTAAATTTCTAAATTTAATTTAAATTTAAATTTCTAAATTTAAATTTCTAAATTTAAAATAAAATTTTAAATTTCTTAATTTAAAATTATTTTTAAATTTCTAAATTTAAAATATTTTTTGATTTTAAATTAAATTTAAATATTTAAATTTAAGATTTAAATATTTAAAATCAGTAAGTGTGATGACCATATTCAAAATGCACTTTACTTAAACATCCTACTTTAAAGTTTGGGGCAGTTGTCTAGGTAGACTCCTAAGTATTTTCAGTCCAAATAGGCATTAGCTTCTCAGGTGAAATGAGGAGAGGTGAGGATCAAGCAAATTTATTCTGGGGAAAAAAAAAAAAGGAAAGAAAAAGTATTGGGAAATACTCCTATTTATTTCACAGTAGGACAGAGCAGTAAATGTGGTCCTCTTTAGGTGGCAATAATATAACTAAAACAGATCATTTTACTTATTGAAGTTTATTGAGTCAAAGACCTGTCCCTACTTAGTTGATCATTCACACTAAAATATTTAGAGATGTTAGCATCTTAGAGAATTAAGTACTGTAAAACCTGATATGGGGTTCTGAGGGCCTTTGTTTTAGCCCTTGGACTTTTTGAAATTTTGGGACTGTGACCTGTTGTCTCTTATTTTGAAATGAAAGTTTGTTGTTTGGGAAACCTGCATTTCATAGTAGAAAAAGTGTTCTTGCCTTAGTCTCTATCAAAGCAAACTCTTCATGTGCTTTGTAAACAGGGCAAAGAAAGCTGACAGTCCAATTTAGAAAGGAAATTAGATATTTACAACTACATGTGTCTAAAGAAAATTCAGAGTCTAATTTCTGATTACCATATTATGAAAACTTGAGTTGTTAACATGGCATCCAGGTTAGTCATCTGGATCACATATAATAGATCCTCAGTGAGATCCTGAATCAGTTGTAATAATAACTAAAACTTGGTTGAGTGCTCCAGGTAAAAAGATAGGATACTTAATAGTTTTGTGTGAATTAAAATCTTAATATTAAAAATGTCTATAACATGAAATTTTAAGAGGTATTTCTTTCTCAATTATTTGAAGAAGCATATTACTTGGAAGTTTCCATAAGCCTAACCTCAGCCTCTGAGCACTTGACTTTCACAAAGAGGGGATTAAAAGAACTAAGAAATTGTAAAGGAATTCTTGAGGAGACACATGCTTTATTTATGTATTTTTTTAATTTAAAAAAGTCACGTGCTTTTTTTTAAAACCATTCAAGGCATGCAATTCTATGATTTAGAGGCAGAGAAACACAAATCATTTCATATATGTATTAGGAAAATACTGAGATATATTTACATTACAAAGGATGGAACATAATGTGTGACAAGTATGACATTAAAAGATAAATAAAGATAGAATAAACAGCATGGAGGTTCTTCAAAAAGTTAAAAATACCCTACAGTCCAATAATTGCACTAGGCATTTACCCCAAAAATACAAAAACACTCAAAAGGGATGCATACACCCCTACATTTAGAGCAGCATTATTTACAATAGCCAGATTATGGAAGCAGCCCAAGTGTCCACTGATAGAAGAATGGATAAAGAAAATGGTGTGTGTGTATGTGTGTGTGTGTGTGTGTATATATATATATATATATATGTATATACATATATACATATATATATGTTTATATATAGTGGAATGCTATTCAGCCATAAAAAAGGAATGAAATCTTACAATTTGCAACAACATGGATGGACCTAGAGAGTAGAATGAAATAAGTCAGAGAAAGACAAATACCATATGTGGAACTTAAGAAACAAAACAAAAGAGCAAAGAAAAAAAGAGAGGGGACGGGCAAACCGAGAAACAGACTCTTAACTATAGAGACTATAGAGAACAAACTGATGTTTGGGGGGGGGATGCATGGGGGGATGGGTGAAACAGGTGACGGGAATTAAAGAGCACACTTATGATGAGCACTGAGTAATGTATGGAATTGTTGAATCACTATATTGTATACCTGAAACTAATATAGCACTGTATTGTAAAAAAAAAAAAAAAAAAAAGATTTATTTTGTAATGACTACAGCAATTCATCTTACAAAGATGGATTTAAATGGATTAATATTCTGCATAGATATCCTTTCTCTAGAGCCAGGAAATTTGGGTGTCAGAAAGCCATTGTTGTCTGATTTCCATTTGGGAGGAAGAAAGACAAAACATACTTTGTGAATTATAACAATAACCAAAGAAATCTCAGTGTCTGAATAACCATAAATGAAAATGCAGTGTCATCCAATATGGAAATAAGTAACAGAAAAGTTTAGGGAGATTAAGGAGTAACCAAAAAAACTGTCTATAGATAATGAAATTATTTTATACCACATGTATTTGTGGATGTACCCTAGCATTGAGATGGAATATTTTTCTCACTGCTATACCTCTCTCATCACCTAGCTCTGCCAAGTATTGAAGCTATTAATCTCTGAATTAACTCATTCCCATTTCATCATTTTATTTTGTGCTCACTAGCAAGAGGCTGGTTTTTTCTTCATTAATTAAATATGAATGTGTCACTCACGAATATACCATCAAAGACTTCCTTGGGGCACCTGGGTGGCTCAGATAGTTAAGCGTCTGCCTTCAGCTCAGGTCATGATCCCAGGGGCCTGGGATCAGCCCCACATCGGGCTCCCTGCTCAGTGCAGAGCCTCCTTCTCCCTCTCCCTCTGCCATTCTCTCCGCTTGTGCTCTCTGGCTCTGTCTATCTCTCTGTCAAATAAATAAATAAAATCTTTAAAAAAAAAAAAAAAAAGACTTCCTATGGTATCCTAAAAATTCAACTATGAACCAGACGTCAAATGCACAGTTTTTGTATGTATTCATATACACTAACACATGTACAAACGGAATAGTCATTATACAGTTAAGAGCATTCTAAGCTCAACAGTCTTGAGGGCTGAGCATTAAGTTTAAATTTATTAGAATTATTTAATGTTCATTTGAACATTTATATGATTAAGAAAATACATATGTCACAGGGTCTTTAGCTCAGAAATCCTATAGCTGCCAGGGAGTTCAGGTAAACACATCATTCTGAAACAAATGGAGAATATATATATTCACAGAATAGAGCCTAAGACACCTCCTAATCCCCGTTCCCCAATCCTGCCAAGCCCCTTCAATTTTGCATTTCAGAATTGTGTTTTCTAGAGAGGGAGTTTTGCTGATAGGAACCATTCTTTGTTAATTCAGCCATTGTGAATTTTAGAATAAAATTCAAAAGGATCTGGGGCCTGTGGATTATTCAAAAATTTGTTTAAAGTCTTTATTTATGTATTTATTTATTTATTTATGTACTTATTTATTTATTTGACAGCGAGACAGTGAGAGAGGGAACACAAGCAGGGGGAGTGGGAGAGGGAGAAGCAGGCTCCCCTCGAAGCAGGGAGCCCAATGTGGGGCTTGATCCCAGGACCCTGGGATCATGACCTGAGCCGAAGGCAGATGCTTAAGGACTGAGCCACCCAGGCGCCTGGATTATTCAAATTTTTAAAAAATCTGAGCTCCTGTTACTAATAGAAATCCTGAATGCTGAATTTGTATTTCTTAGTTAATAAAAATAAAAGAAATGCACCATATTTGTTACTTCTGTGAGTAACAGAAACTCACCACCTGAGCCCCACACCTGTTGTTTTCCTGAGTGTCTCTGGACACTGTGACTCCCTGTTCTCAGTGACCTGTGTATTGGGCAAAGAAGAAAATTATACCTTATTTCCCAGTGGTGATCCACTCTAGAAAACCCCCGTTTGTTTCATGACTCCACTTCTGTCCCCGCCCCTCCTTCTCCCACTTAGCAAATTGTATCTTTAGAAAATGAATATGGTATGTAGAGCTGTCCCTGAAATTTGACCCCTGGAGAGCTGCCATTGGTCAGTGTTGCTTTGGACCGGGCTCTAGTGACAGGAGACCTGTGGATTGGCTCAGGAAGATAGCCCGGGGCAGCCTCCACGGTGGGCATTTTCTGAGACCTAACAAGCAGAGTCAGCCAACTGAGAAGGAAAGGGGCTTAAGCTAGGCCCTTGTAGTTTGTCACTGATTGTATTTTGCTCAGCTCCCAGGGAGAGGTTCAGCCTAAAAACTGTCTTCAGAGCCTCAAGCTCATTGTTTTCCTTGTCAAACGTCTGTTAACCTGCCTGATAGAAATGTCCACAAGGGAGTGATAGGGAGGGAGAAAGCAGCCTCAGGCTGTAGGCATTCCTGTCTCAGCCCCTGTCCTTCCGCCCTGAGCAGGAGTGTTCCTAACACAGGATCCAGGTCAGGGCAGGTGTCCAGGAAAACCTAGATCTCTAAGACCTAGGTCTCTAAAGAAGAGACTTCTGGGTACTCTCAC